CACTGACGCATTATTGGATTTTTTTATATTTCACTGACACATTATTGTATAATTATATTTCACCGACAAGGTAAATGACTTTGTGTTACACATTATAGACAATATTCTTTATATATAACCTTGAGTCTCAAGTTTTGAATTATTCTTTCTCAGATACGATTTCATTCGCAACTTAGATTAAAATATCAAATGGACAACTTACGCTTTTTATGTCAACGACAAGATTACGCTTGCGATTTTATAAAATGTTATTATTTAGTCATATTCATTTTTATTTAAGATGTTGTAACTATAATTAAAGATTAAGGATATTTTTTATATAGTAAAGACAAGAATTTGCTGGCAATTTAACGAATTGTTATAATTATGGTCTTTTCATTTATTTAACATTGTATAGTTGTACTTTTATTTATGATTTACCTTTGTAACATTGAAAATGACCCGATCGGAGTCGAAACGTTTGTTAACTTTATGATTCTAATTTAATTAAAATTGTTTGTTTAAATATAAATTAATTTGATGAAAAGATTTAAAATTTAAGTATAAATTGAAAAATTGTTTATTAATTTTGAAGAACGTATGCCTCGCACATCTGTATGTGTTAAGTATTTTACACGAAAGAGGTTTAAGACGTTTCATCATTGGTACACGCTTTATCTCCCTTTAATAGCACTACTAACATACCAAAAAGATACATTGATTCCATCAGATGATATAATCTTTTAAGGTTCACCGAGATGTCAATGAGCGAGACACCTTCCACCAGAATAGAGATAAATTCGCAGTTTATCAGCCTATTAAGACAGATTCGAGATTTCAGGAACCGCCAATGGACCATAAGGAATCCCATCGGCAACATGTTCGCGGCGCGTGCTTGCGCTGATATCACACTCGTCCCCGTCCGATCCGTATTGGCCCTGGCAACTGCGGAACAAAGTTCAGCCTATACGGAGTCAACTACATCACTGGACCATCGTAACGATTCACCTCCAGTCTCCGTGAACGCGCCGTCGAGAACGTCGGTCACTACAAGAAGGAGAATTGTTCTCGGAGATCGGAGAGAGAGAGAGAGAGAGATTCGTCTTCCTCTACATTTGTAAAAAAAAATTATTGCCGACTCCGCAGATTAACGTTTGGAATGGAGAAATATAAAAAATATAATACCTAAGGATACGTAAAGAAAAAAAAAGAAAAGAAGCGAGGCCACGATTGACGAAGCGGTTTGAAATCTCACGAGATATCGACTCGGCGATTGTGGTGACCTGCCTGACTTTTGCAACTTTTTTAGTAAAATTGATATTGCGCAAATTGCGCGTCAATCCTGTTGGAATTTAGAAAGAAATACAGAAATCGCCAGTTTAAATTGACTTAATTTGAAAGTATTATAAATATCGAAATACCAGAACCACTGAAATATATAATTTGAAACATTCGTTTTAAATATATTTACAAAGTCATGAAGATCGATGGTACTTGAAGATATTTGAATTCAGATTACTAATTGAATTCAGTGTCGAACTTAGTGTTAAACTCAATCGACGGAATAATGTCGATAATATCAACGTGTAAATTGTTTTCGATGTTTAAACTCGATAACTAAACTCGAGTAAATCAGCGGATTAACCTACGTGATTAAATCAGAGACTAAAGAAGAAGTCGGATTAAAGAAGAATCAGTTCCATCTGGATTGCGGTGGAAAAATGCGTCTCTTCATGGAAATCTTTTTTGTTCTTCTCATAGGGGGTATCGCAGCTGAATGGTCGATCAGCCCCCTGATAATATACACATCGCTACCCTATTTGTCGTCCGAATCGTCGATCAACAAAGAGGCCGATTGCACCGGTTGCGCGCAAAATAAAGTCAATGTGATCGATTCCGACCCGCTGTTGACCGAGTTGAGAGTGGAGTACGTGAAGCAGCAGATTCTAAAGAAGCTGCGACTGTCAAAACCGCCCGAAGTCTCGATGCCACTGTCGACCTTGCCTAAACCTTTAATCAACGGCAATGTGCTTCGACCCAATTTAGAAAGACCGGCAGAGAACTTCTACGGAAAAACCAACCAGGTCGTCGTGTTTCCAAACGAAGGTGAGATTTCACGAATTAAAATAAACAATACACAAGATTAACGACAGAATCCGACCAAAACTGAACCGAAACACTCGGCTATATGTTAATTTCAACCGAAACTAAAACAAAAATTAATAAATAAATATCCTATAAAGGTCATAGACATGTCCATATATCACATACTTTTTCTTCATAAATATTATAATTTATTGAAACAATAATTAAATTTCGGCCGAAATTGAAAACCGTTGTGTGTCAATTTTGGCCAAAGAATATAAGTATACCTCGTTTTCCTAAACATCATAATTTAATTATTGAAACAATAATTACATATATTAAAATTAATATTTACGAAGAAAAGCTATATGGTTTCAGTCGAAACTGACACGTAGTGAGTGTTCGTTTTCAATTTCGGCAAAAGTTTCGGTCGGACTCTAATTAACGATCCTTCCTTTTTAATTAGGGTTGGTAAAGACTAATGTTTTTTTTAAGAATAAAACATATTATGTTTCTTCTTGAATATGTTTTTAATGCTTCAAATATGCTTTGAACAGTACTATAAAAAAACATATTAAAAACATCAATTAAGCATGTTTTAAACTGTTTAAAACACGTTTAAAACATGTTTTTTACCAACCCTGTTTTTAATACAGAATGCAAAGAAATATTATTGAACGGGGCAAAAAAGCAATTTTATTACAATATAAAATCAATTAAGACATGTTGTATGATTCAATGCAAAAAACTATCTTAATAAACTTTACATTTTTATAATATTTTAAAGCATTAAAATTTTTGAAAACTTATTAAAATATACAATTTTTTATAGGATAAAAATTATGTATGCATAATATGTACATATACATACATATATATATATATATATATTCATATTATATATACATACACTAAGAAAAATGTTTCGATTAAATTAAAAAAAGGCATAACAAAATGGTATTCTGATGAGATCAAACAGAAATTTTTATCATAACCAGAAATTCTGTTTGGTCAAAATGCTATTCTTTAAACTTTAAATTTTTGTTGATTTATTCATAACATTTTTTTAGTATATAATTTTTATCCTCGAATAAATTATACTTGAATAAATTTTCAAAAATTTTAATTTTTCTTTCTTAAAAAATATAAAAATACAAAGTCTATTAAGAGAATTTTTACAACTGATTTAAATTACTATCTCAATAACATAATCTACCGACGAATTCGAATACTCGGACACTAAGGCTGCGTCATATGAGAAAAATGCATACAATACTCGCGAATGATGTGTATTTTTCAATAAAATATACTTGCTCGAAATTGTCAAAACAATTAAATTTAAAAAAGTAAGTCAAGAATGGCGAAAGTATAAGATCAAAAACATAAATTTATTATGACAACTTTAAAAATTTTGTTTAAATTGCTTAAACTATGTATAAATCGTAAATTTGTGAAAAAAATTGGGCAATATTTTTTGTCTATATATAATCACACGTAAATTTGATCATGAAAATATTCAACCAGATGTAGACTACTAATGAACGGTTATTTATATCCACGTACGATGCGTAGACGGAGAAAAAATGAACAAACAACAGAAAAATACACATCATTCGCGAATATTGTATGTATCTTTCTCATATGATGCAGCCCTAGTCTCCGAGTATTCAAATGTGAAACAAAATCTCTGAATATCGAGCATGCACAAGCTTGTTCGATGGAGCGCAAGCTGAAATCCGCAAATGAACTATTGTGCCAGAAACGTATCCGAGTAAGTACACAAATACATGAAATCTATAATGAATTAGAAGAACGTGTAATGCGTAAATGTAAACCGTTAATGTAACATGTAATTTTATAAAATCAGAAAAAAGTATAAATACAATGACTTTTTTTAAATAGGTAATTGCTACTATCACACACACACACACAATGGGCAATTACTAACTCGTAGAAAACTAAATTTCAATTTTCTCACACAAAGCATCTTAGTTAATATATTGTAATATTTCCGATATAATTTATAATATCACTTAGTATCCAATTTTACATTCGTATGTATCCTGCATATTCATACGCAAAACTGAGCATCTCGTATGGAGAACATCCCTCCGAGAAGCTTGTTTCTTTCTCTTTGCTGTCGACTGACCATTTCTCTCGACAACCCCTTCTTGACTAGCCAGACGAAACACCGGCGAGGACATGAATATTGCGTAATTGCACGGCTCCCTCGAAATAAACGAGAACTGGTAACAATGACGCCGTTTCTGTCTCTCTCTTTCTTCCTTCCTTTCTCTCTCTCTCTTTCTCTCTCACTCGCTCGCTCGCTCGCTCTTTCTCTTGACACTTCTGGAATAGAGGTACCACTACCGGCTGGGACCATGAATTTCAAATTTTCCGCGGCGATGCAAATACGGAAGCCGCGCGAACGACGCGCGTATGAATCCCGACGGTGCGGCGGAAATTTACCTCGAATTACAACGCAAAATCACGGTTCCGATATTTTAATCGCCTGTGTGAATTATTTTCGACGTGCTTGACGAATTTCTTAAAATCACGAAGAAAAACCTTTCTCTTGGAAAATTCTCGTCCCGTTCGCGAAGCTACTTTGAACTTCGTCACTCCGAAAAGTTTTATTGAAAGCGTGAGAAGTAATGGATAATAAAGATTAAACAAACGTATAAAATTGGTAAAATTATTTCAATCTTTACCCCTTATGGGGTAACTTAAAATAACTATAAGATGGCATATGTAAACTCAGAGAAAAAGACTCAGTGTCAAATATATAAAGGTGATAACTATACAAGTTTTATATTTAGAATTAACACAATTCAATAAATTATTTTATTCAACTATGGCTGCGTTCCGCTTACAACGCTCGCAACGCTCGCGAGCATCGTTTGTCCTTATTTAACATTTGATAAACGACAAGGATGAAATGATTCCACGAACGTTGTGAGCGTTAAGTGAAACGCAGCCTATGAATTTCAACATATAAAATTTGTATAATAGTCATCTTTATAGAGCTGCTTATTTTTTTTCTAAATATACGCCGAGACAAAAAAAGAATTTATTAAGTCTCTTTATTAGATACTCATAATAAATGTAGCTCAGATCTCGCTGTAATTCTGATTGTCCGCTTCGGCTTATCTGACTACTGATACGGCCAAACAGTCTTATACCGGATCCATACGAGCTCTAATCATTTATTAGCATACGAGGAACCTTTGTTTCCTCACAAGAAAAACACTAACAGTATCTATTGATATGGAAGGTTCGAACATCCGTAAGCACGAAATCAAACTTTTTCTGTTATTTCCGGAACGTTCTCTTATATATAAGATAATACACGTAGAAATTCTAAGATAGTATACGCGTTACGTCAAAGTTTTTACGCTTGAAACCAGCTGTTACCATTTCGGCATTCTACCGCGTCATGCAACTTTATTCGCAACGAAGCTATGCATAATTTACGAACATGTAATTTCTTGCCACCGACAGAATGTAGGAATACGATAATATAATCGTATCGTTCATCGGTTGCACGAATATGCTGAATATTATTGCCCTGAATTTTTTCACGCCTCTTTTTGCAATGTTTTCCGCACACGCGATTGTGACTCTGCATTTAACGAAAGCATCGATCGCGCAATGCTCCTTTATTAGTAATAATTCTCACCATATGCCTTTTTCCTCTAAACTTTGTCTTTTATTAGTTATTCTTAACTTTACATAATTATAAAATATTGTAAATTTTCAGTTCTCTATCATCAAATTTTAACAGCAATTTATTAATTGTATAATATAAAGCATTCGCAAGAGCAGTATTTATAGTTACCCAAATTTGCAAAAAAGTTTTTTTTAAACATTTCAATTGCGTTTGTTTTAAAAAACAACCATGATATATATATCTCCTCCCTTTCTCCCTCTCTAGAATATCGCTTTTTATTGCGCTGTTGGAGTAATTCTCTGTTTTCGAGATTCAAAGTAATCACAAAAATTCCGAACTCAATTTGTGATTTTTCTATCCGCTGATATTCTATGTAAACTCTTGTTTCATAAACTTTCGCTCCGTGTGAACTCACGTTTGCAACAATGATTAAGTGTTCACCGAGGGTTCGAACCGGGTCAGAATGTAAGAACCAACCAACTACGAGCATTCCCTTTTCATTCGACTGTACTTGATTATTCTGACCCGGTTTGAACTCTCGGTGGAAACTTTTAGTCAGTATTACTTAAAACACATCACGTTTAATTCTTTACGTACGCGATAGATATGATGTTATCGCACAGAGGAAATTATCCAACGATATGATTCATCTATTTTGTATCTATCTCGGATGTGACAAGCCGATCCAACATGACTCAAAATATTCGCTTTTTATCTAATTTCGATGCAAAATATATGCAAACTGTACAGTGCGTACATCGTACAAATTCACATGTACGTATATAAATAGCAATTCGAGATTTCATCATATTGGAACATTTATTATTTGGCTTAGTTAACCCGCAGCGATTTCTGTGCGAAAACTGCAGATTACGATCGAGGCCAATGAACCGAAAATGTTCATCGCGTTGTTGAATCTGTGCCGCGACATCAAAAAGTAGTACACGCTCGAGAATGTCCTGAAGGTATACTGTGAAATTCGTTCCGAAAATATCCGAAGATCTCGGAACGACTCTACTCTAATATAACCCGGAAATCGGATTTCTGAATGAAAATCTTATGAACTTTGAAAGTACGCAAGCTAGAATCTGGCTTCAATAGAATGTGAGGTCAGCGAGACCCAATATGATGTGCGGCGATTACATCACCTGTATAAATTATCGAGTAAAAGAATTAGTCTCAGAAGAAATTAATCATGTTACATAAAAAGTGCTAATACTAAGCCAATACAGGATATTCATGTGTCTATACCGTTTTATTGTCTAAAATTAGAAAAAATCGCTAAGCTTAGTATAGGAGTATACCTATAAGGTCTGGTTACCTTTTCTTGTATTAATAATGATCCAAAAGAATTAAAACGTATATACTTTAATATCTTTTACAATATATGGTAGCTACTTATTTTTTTCTCTGAATATAGGCCGAGACAAAGAAAAAGAACTTATTAAGGCTCTTCGTTACTCATAATACATATATATAACTCAGATCTCGCTGTAACTCAGATTGTCTATTTCGGCTTACATATCTGATACAATATGTAATGGGATATGTATCTGTTTTCCCCTTTTCATTAAAAAAATGTTAGAAAAATGGAAAATAAAATAATCTAATGTTACCTTTATGAGATTAGAATTTTATTAACATATTGACATATTTATTGACATGTAAGAATGCATAAAGCATTATTTTCCAAACAATAGATTTATCTACTTATTTACTTACGTATTTATTTCTGTAATGTTACATTCAGTATTTCTACATTGGTTACATTCGTTCTATCTTACAAAGAGTTTTTTCTCTTTGGTTATAAACAAAATCTTCTGACGAAAATATAAACTAAATACAGTGTGTTGTAAAATATATATATATAAATACAGTTATAATAAAATAAACTACGGAAATTAAGAACAATCCATGGTAGTTATAGAAAGTAATTATTTGCCTACGATATATTCCATTATAACCATAACATTTTGCATTTTGCCTTAATGACAATAACAGAATAAATTAAAATTATATAATCGTTATTTTCAGGAATAGCTACAACTATATGTATATATCTATGTATACTTTTTTATACACAGAACTATAAATAAAATTGTTATTACTAACATTATACCAGTAATAGCTTTAAAAATAGAGCTTCTAACTATAATTATTTACCATGTTATTATAGCCACAAATACTAAAAGTTCATTAAGTAAATACAAATGAATAAGTACAGTCTTGCAAGTATAGGGTTTGTACTTATTCGTTCGTATTTATTTACGAAATAAAGTAAATATCGTTTTATAAAAAAGGTTTTATTTTTCCGATACGAATGCAATATAGACGCGTACATTAAACGGATGAGAAAAACGCGTTGTACATGAGAAAAATACAGTGCGCATGCGGATACACTGTCGCTGACGTTTGGCACGCATTGTGCAACGATATAGATTCACTCTGACGCCTGACGTTGCATAATTCTAGCTATAAATCATACGGAAGTGGTGATCAATCGGACATGCTGATCACCCAAGAATCCGTCCGGAAATCATTTCAACGCGCTTGATAGTGAGCGTTATATCATGGATTGCTCCAATCATCGACGCGTGCACGTTGGCAAAGCGTGTAGAGCACGACTTTTCATATCGATTTGTTATGAACGGATACAGATAACTTTGATTAAAATTTGTCATAAAACATTTCATGAAATAGTATCGATAATCGTAATTCTGCAAAACAATTTGGAATTTTCCATAAGCTAATTTGAAACATTTAAAGACTTATTTTACATTATAAAACGTTCTTTGACATATGTTGAGGAAATGGTATGATAATTATAAATTAAAAAATATAAAGAAAGTCATGAATTACAACTTTGTGTATAAAGCACTTTCAAAAATTGACGTAAATGTTTTAAATCTAACTAAAAATAATTTTATTAAAAAATAATATTTATTTCCATAACAATTTTAATATTTTATTAATCCTTTTGATTTTATTACCGATTTATCTAAGAAAATAAAATTAATTAAGGGTGTTTTGTACTTACGGTGAAGGCTGCATATCTTTCCACAGTAATTTCTTGCAATAATAAATTTTTTTCTATTGGACGAAGATGGTTTTATCATCGATGTTTCTGTTTATGCTTGCATATCGTACGTGCCGCAAAAATAACTTTTGCCGCACTTTGTCGCAGTTACGAGAACCTTTTAGAGCGCACTTTTCCAGATAATTGTGGTTCCATTTGAGGCTTACTTCTAGTACCGCCGTAAATTGCCGATTGTACGCGGCCAAAGGCGCACTCTCAAAAGTTTCGAATGAGTCTTCGGTGCCGTTCATTGATGTTACAGTTTGTAGTGAAATAGCCATAGATATGCGTTCGTCATAAAGAAAGGGCAACTAGATAGCCATACCATATACTCAATTCAAACAAAAAATACTATATTCTAAATTTCTTGGAATGAAATCTCACTCCAAGAGAGTAAAAATACAATCATCCTTTGAAAAAAGTGAAATATTTTCAAATTTCGAACCAATTGTTAAGCAAAAGATAACAAATGAAAGATACATCTTGGTAGTACAGTTTTCAATTCTGTATAAAAATGCAATAACTTTATTCCTGGACGAGTTATTTATATATATAAGAATTTTTTACAGAGAGAACAAATAATGCCACAACTTATTATATAATATGTATTATAAGGTTTTAATAAAAATAATAAATAAATGAAATAAACTAAGAAATTATAATAATACTAATTATTTGTAGTTAATACTACTATATTTTCTTAGTTTATATAACTTATTTATTGTTTTTATTATAGCACACAGTTGAAGTGCTATTTGTCCTCAAACTATTTGTTGATACATTTTTCTGAGTATAGATGTAATTGTACATAAATGATAGAATGTCATTACCAATGTGAATACGGTTTACTATAAGCATATGGTTCCTAATTCTGCTTTGAATTATGTGTTTGTTACCATAATATTTAATAATACAATTTACTAATATGAAATTTCCATTCATTTATGAGATAACTACACGTGTATATGCAATATTGTTACATGAATGCATGTCATAATTATGATAATCATAATTCAATGTTGAAGCAGCTGTAATTAAAACAACTATAAATATATAGTTGTTTTCAAAAATGATTATAAATTATAATAATTAAATTATAGTAATTCCAAACATCTTTCTCTCAGTATATTTTCGTGCAAAAAACAAGAATATTTTTGAATTAAAATTAAAATGTATATCTCAAATCAAAAAATTCAACAATTTCCGTTTGTTGTTAATAATTACCAATATATTTATTCATATAGATTTCTAAATAAATGTAATGGAAATTTTTTGTAAATCATATTTAATTATATTCTATATTGAAACATAAATACCTTGAAATTCACACAGAAAGAACAATTTTTGCTGAAAGTGTTTAAAAATTTAGTCAAATATTGAAAATAATTTCGTTAGATCGAAATAATGAGATTTTGAATACAAAATGATTCGACATTCTAATAACAATTAACTAATTGCAATCAGTAGTAACCACAATGTTCTACATATGTAATTATTTTGATGGTCCAACAAAATTATTTTCAGATCTGCATTTAGCTAAATTTTTACTTTAACAAAATCATCTTTTTCATGCAAGAATCAAAGAATTTAGCAAAAAAAATTAATTTTTTATTTAGGATCAAATTTCGGTAAAATCATACAATCAAACAATTGTATTACACTGTCTCAAAAAAAAAAAAACGATCAAACTATGGTTACAGGTGTAGCCGATTCGACGAAATATCATCAGAGCTCGAATCACATAACAGGATTCAATCCAGCGGTCTGTTTCACGTTCTACTTGCCGAACGAGATGCTGTACGTCGACGTGACCTCGGCAGAGCTTTGGTTCTACAAGGAACAGGTCGAAAACATCGATGAGCTCAAACAAACATTTGTGCTATCTGAACTCGATCACTGGGACCAGGGCGGCAGATTCGAAAAGAACACCTTTATGGCAATCTTTGAGACCGATATCAAAGGTGGGTAAATGGCAGATGGAATCTCTCTCTCTCTCCCTCTCTCTCTCTCTCTCTCTCTCTCTCTCTCTCTCTCTCTCTCTCTCTCTCTCTCCCTTCCCCCCCCCTCCCTCCTTGTCCTCTCCTGCAATCTTTATCCATATGTTTGTCAGAAATGAATCCATACTATTGCATTGCATGTACTTTGCAAACCTGTCCTCCGTTGTACTTCGTCTTTTATTGAAAATTCGATACGAATGCTAAGAGGTAGAATTTTCTCATATCGCAATATCCCAAACGATTTCTAACATCATTTAATATCTATTGACTAAAAATCGATTGCTAAACATTTAAAATTTAATAAGAAAATGTACACATTAAAAAATATTATAATGATAAATTATAATGATAAATTAAAAAATTTTTATTTTTCTTAAAAATTTTTAATTCTACATATATAGTGAAGGGGAATACAGTAGAATGGAATTTAAGTGTATAAAAAAGATACATACAAAAATTAGAGTAGGCAAATACTTTTAAGCGGTAGTGTATATACTGTCTGGAATAAGTCGTATTTTCTGTAAAGTTTCATGAAATTTTATGGCTTCTCTAGTGCGACATGCGACGCTGCACATAAAAAAATCGTTAATTTTTTTCTTTCAGAGGGTTGGGTAAAGACAGACATAAAGTTTATGGTGAAGAAATGGATAGGTCGACATCGATTGATCCACTCCATTCAGATAGCCTGCACAACCTGTTCGACCGATCACAATAAAGCGCCTGTGTCCATCGAACAGACTCTGAAGCCGTTTCTAGTAATCCACACGGAGCCGTTGCCACAGCGGAACAGGCCCAAGAGGCACTCGAATTGCCTACCCGAGATGACGGAGTGCTGTCGGGACGAGCTCTACATTAATTTCAGGGATATCGGCTGGAGCGACTGGATCTTACACCCCACCGGATATCACGCGTATTTCTGCCGAGGATCTTGCTCCACGGCGGCATCTTTAACCATCAGCGGTTCCCAATACAACAACGTCATCATGGTAAGCGTAATACAACTCTCGCACTCTTACATCATTGGTGTTCAATACAACAGGTCTATACTTTTTAGTTAAATTTCTAGCACAATTCATCTTTTTTTTTCACGTTGTAGAGAAAAAAATAAACTGTGCACAAGAAATTAAGAACAGAATAGACCTTAGATCTAACAATCATTCATCAATAAATCATCAAAAAAACTAGTTTCATCTAGTTCGAAATAATTAAGAAGGCTTTTCCTTTTTACGAGCAATATCGACGACACTAGTAATATTAACATATGAAAGCTAATATTATAATTTGTAGTATATATTTAAATTTGTACGATTAATTATATTCACACGTTATATTAATAACGTGTTAAAACTTAGCATTATTAAAAAAGTTCAGTTAACATTTAATAATGTTATAATTTGTAATATAAATTTAAACTATTTTTTAACATCAACTTTTTAAATTAGATCCTTCTTACAAAAAAGTATTTCACCGCTTTTACACCTCATATGGTTAGAGTAGACCATTTTCAGCTATTCTATTATTTTAATGCCCATTTCTGACACTCTCAAACACACACATTCTCTTGCGAAAGAACATGACGAGTACATGCAAGAGAGTATTTTTAAATAGATTGCCTGTTTTGAATACTCCTTTTTCAGCTAACGAGACAACACGTTCCTCCTTTATTCAGTTTTGTTTAATGCACAAAAATCAAAACACATTAAAGACACGTATATTTATTTATCGTTTATTAATTACCGTATCAATTTCAAATTAAGCGATCAAAAGAATATACTTATTTCTAGGCATTATTTGTTAATTTTTCATGAGCCGTTTAGGTGACCTCTATAGGATACAGGAAAAAATCAAGGGGTTTAAAGGGATGCTGGAGCGACGACCGAACTTGATCAATATCGATAAAAAAAAAATTTTTAATTCCAAATAAAATATTACTTATATCAAGGAAACGTTACATGCAATAATTAAAACATTATGTACATTAAGTAAATCATTAAGTAAAACGTTACGTACATTGCTTGCTCTGCTATGTTCTATATACACATGAATGCGAAATTATGCACACTCAAATCGTACTTCTCAAGCCATTTCTGTTGTAAGCTTCAAAATCATAATTGAAGGTCTCATAATATTCTTATAAATTATTCAAACATGGGAAAATACTTTCTGTTTGGATATATTCTTACATTCATTTATATATATGTGAAGGAAGAACTTATATTGTAACAGAAAACTGTAATTTATAATTTTTTAGGAATTTTCATACCGGTTTGTACTTTTCCAAAGGTATTTGCGTTTTTTCTTTTATTCTGGAAAAGAATTTTTTATTCTGTATTAGGAAAACGAAATGGTTTGAGAAATACGAATTGACGTTCCGTCGGTAACTCCAACATCTCCTTGAGAAGCTACTTTTTCAATCATAAAAATTACATATTTTGTATTTCTAATTTTTTTTATAGTGGTAGATGGTTAAAACTTTTTTTGGTATAATACATTTATCTTAAATGTAATAAATGATACATGATAAATTAAGGGCTCGATAATATATATGCAACAGTTAGATGGGGAGCACAGACTCTTACATAACGCGCAACACATAAGAGAATGAACCAATCAAAATCCTTTATTTCCTTCCTTTCCATGAAATAAAGAACTCTAATTGGTTGATTTTCTTATGCTTTATACGTTATGCATGAGTCTGTGCCCCAGAGCCCTTACTCTAATATCGTCTCTTATTACCGTCTCTTATATATATATATATATATATAACTGAAAACAATGAAATATTGTCTCCGAATTCTTTAGAATAATTATCTACTTATTATGAATCTAAAAAAAATATCTTCTTTTATTCATTCCATGATTTAATCTATCTTATTTTTCAACGTCATCATTTATTTTCTCGTTATCGCCAAAGATTATGGTTTTATTCTCATTTCATATCAACAACCTACACTCTTTATAGTTATTATAGGATTTACAGTTATTATCGGAGTTATAGCTAATTCTTATCATTATACATTGCTCATCCCATCCCATCCGCATTGTTATAGCAGAATTAATGTACTCGTTGACTGAAAAGGACAAGATTATGAAAAAATATTATCTATGTCTAAAATATCGCACGGCAATCTTATCTCGTTCGTGTCAGTTCGCACGAAGCGCGGATGCGTAACAACCGATTATCATACTGCTGAAGAAATGTGTCGCCAGTGTGATTTATATTCGTTCTTTCTTTGCGAGTACGGGGAGAATGCTGACGCCACATCTTTCTCTCGCTATTTTGAGAATCGCATATCACTTTATGCGTTTCTTTGTGATTTTACTAACAATCGTATCATACATTGCCAATAGTAAATATCGTTAATACGCTGAAAAAACTTATTAATTTGTCAAATCTTGAAAGCCAACGATTTAAAAACATCTCGTTCTATTAAGAATGATTTTATTTTATTTAAAAAATTTATCAACTATAGTTATCTTAAATAATTAAAATATCATAAATTAAATAAGTTTTATTTAATTATTAATAATTATATATTAATATACATATTATAAATTAAATATTAATTATATATTACTTATAATTAATAAATGTTAATTATATATTAATAATAATAAATTTAATACTATTATTAATATACACATTAATAATAATTAATATTATTATTAATATAATTTATAATTATAAATAATTATAAATTTTTTTCTATATATGGATTTTTATTCTCTTCTTTTATTTATAATAAAATACATTTTAAATATCTTTCAATTTTCCTACACAAAAAAAAATGTTCAATTTCTAAATTGAATAATTTCTCATATGCATGTAGCTTTTAGCTGATATAAACTACCAGTTTTATAAAAACTAGTTCACATCAGGCAAAGTAACTCCTTTCCATCTTTTACGGATACGTACATACACATACGCGTAATTTACGTTTTACTTAACATAAAAAATATAATCGTGCTGCATAATCGCGTCCTTTATTGCCCACATTAATTGTTAATAAAAGGAAGAGGAGGTACTCTTGTTATACCACGACACATAATGTGAATAATGTAGTTTGCAACTCGTAACGATAATGGGGCGTTAAGACTCCATTATCACGCAACGTAAAACCCTATTAACTTAGGTCTATGCTTTCTGCCATATACGAAGCGTGACGCGAGAAATATTGTTTGCATATGCGAAATGGAGATGCTTTTTTTTATATTCAGTAGTCTGAAAATGACTGAAAAGAGCGACACTCGCTTTCATTATCCATTTTCCTCCGCTATAGCTAACCTAACACTATACATATATATCCTTTCACTATTAAAGAATCATCGAACATCTTGAAAGACTCTACACGCGGTCAATAATATTGTCAGTATTAACAAATATACTGACAATATTACTGATCGTATGTGATTAATGGATTGATGTAGAATGATGGTAATCGAACTTTGATTCTCGAGCTTCAGCATCGTTTTATTCTATTGATTAAAATTGTCATTTTTGCGAATTAATAAGCATAAAAACATCGCTTCTCTTTGCAGAAATTATTAACTAAGGATGGACAACAAAAGAACAAGATAATGCCATGCTGCTCGCCGACGCAGCTCGCTCCGCTCCAGCTACTCTACATTGACACAAACAACACGATCACACAGAAAACATTGCCGAACATGGTAGTAGAAGCTTGCGGTTGCATGTGATACCGCTGCCCCGAAGGCAGAGGGTAAGTAGAATCACTACTGTTGCTGACGCTGAGAAGACGAGAACCAATCTCATGCCGTCTCGTCCGAGACTTTTGCTCGTGGTTAATCGTTGTGAAACTGAACTTGGTTGAATGCTCGCAAAATCCGTTCATCTTGATATGAACGTGAAGAAATCGATAAAAACGAAGCAACGATCACCGCTTCGAGATAGTAGGTGATTAAAGATAGGAGCACGCTATTGTCACATCACGCGAGTTCACTTTCTATCGCGTTGCATTATAAATAATTAATTCTTTAATGTGTGTGTGTATGTATGTGTGTGTGTAAGTAGTGGTGATGATAATTTTTAGAACATTTCTAGGAAAGTGAGATCGAATTCAATCTGGTGCTCTGTTTTGATTAATTTTTATCTAATTAGTGTATAAAATGAGTAAAATAATTAAATAATATAAAACTTGTTTTTTTATTTATAAATGAAAAAAATACAATATAGTTTATTATCCGACTTAAATAATCGCAGTAAAACAAAAAATAGCCGCTTAGGCTAACAAAGCCGTTGGATGACATCTAAAGATGCCTTCAGATGATATGGCCAATGTATACGTCAATTTTGCACACATTCGCAAATATTGACCTACATTCAATATGGATATCATATGTGTGTATGATATTCGCTAATGTGGCGAACGTTATCGTCTGGAGACGTCTTAATCCCAATCCTACCATTATAGGTTGCGTTCGGGCAGCGCGCTATCAACGTTATTTGTGTCATACTATCCTTGTTTCACGTTTAATGGACAATGAAGACAGAATGACACAAATAACGCTAATAGCGTCTCCCCGAACCCAGCCATAGAGTTAATGAAATTATCATCGATTCGTAGAACATCTACAAATAATTAATGCCTTTTTATATTATTCGTCAGATTTGTCTGTATCCCTTTCATCGATATTATGTAAATCATAATTTTCCATCTTGCTACATCTTGGCGAAAACTCCAAGCTTATGTTCATTCAGCAGATGGAGATAGTTATTAATAAGATTTAGTAAATGGGTCATTTTACTCCGCTGTCCGTCTTACTCCACCATCCCTTATATTTGTTTGTGAAAGATTTCGATGTTACACTGTTTATGAAAAGTTTTATTGATGTTATACTGTTGAAAGCATGTTGCAAACACCTGACAAACATCTGCTGACTAAACATTTTATGCTTAGAAAATTATAATGGAAACATCAACAAACGAAAGACGTCAACTGTTCGAAACCGATTCAATTTTTCTTGAAATATGTTGTTAAACACAAAAATCTAAGAGGTACGTATTTTTTTTTTATATCGGCCTAATTTGAGATTTAAGAAGTAAAACTAGGGATGTTTCGATTTCCACAAAAGATCGATCTCTCCAAACAATAATAGCGATTTTAAATCAATCTATTTTGCGAAAAATTTATTTTTCTAACTAAATGAGACTGTTTTAAACATATCTTTTTAAAGAATCACTTCTTTTTTACGAAAGAGCTATTTCAAAATAATGTTTTTTGTAAAAATCAACTTTTAGCAAATTGATCGGGAGATTGCACATCCCTCGGAGGAAAAACAGATTCTCAAAACTTAATGAGAATGGGAATATTTTTTAAAAATCTATGCAGTTATCAAGTATATAAAAATTATAAAAATTCTGTCTAAAACATTTTTCTATATATTTCACCGTTTTGTTGAATCAAATACAAAGCTTTGAGAAGTTGTTTCATCTTAAATCTTAAATTAGACCGGTATAAAAATGTATCTCAGATTTTTGTGTTTAATAACATATTTCAAGGAAAATCGAATCGGTTCCCAACAATTGTGACAGGTCATCCATGTATGTAACAGAACATCAATTACGGTCAATGTAGAGGCTGTAAAATATATAATACATCTATATGCATTAAGTAAATTTATTTCAAATATATGACTGCGTGCCGATTACTTTCAAACTTGCAACACAATCAAACCGAAAAATAACAATTCCCCAAAATGAATCAGATCGTCAATTTGGTGTTACTAGCATCTTAAATATAATAGAAATATTTAAGATTGCGTCATTGGTCAGCAGGATGTTTCACAAAAAAAATATTCTGCTCGTGCAGCCATGTTCAAGACGACTGCGCATCATTGGGAATGGAATACCTTATATTTTTATACTATGGGCGCAGCATTATTAGATTTTTCACACATATTCTAGTGAAACGATTTCTTACAAGAAAGTTCCTAACATTAGATTCCATAACAAAAGTAAATGGAATGTACTTATGTTTTAACAGTACAATTTTTGGTTTTGTGTGTCTAAATTAATTCGGAAACGTAGTATTCCTGGAACGCTGACGAAAATAGTATAATTTATAGAAAATTTATAAAAAATTTGCTCAAATGTTGAGTAAATGTTTCATTTGAGCTTTAAAACATTTATTTAAATTGTTGTATGAGATGAAAATTTAAATATGGAATTGTTCAGGAGATGTTCATGACTATATTTGGTAATATTCGGAAAGTGTGTTGTGTTTTCGAAATATTAACAAACATTTAAGGGATAATTGGATTAAAATTGGAAATAATTCAATAAATGTTTTAAAGTTCGAGTAAAACATCTATTCAACATTTAAGCTTCTTATAAATTCTCAATAAACATACTACTTTCCCCAAGGCACGCGCAGTAAATATAATTTTCACATGTGCGAATTATGTTGATAAGAAGGCAACATCAATGATATCACTTATTTCAATAAAATGCACCGCTTGCCTCGAACGATTCAAGTCGCAAAAATTATTCATACCTATTGTCTTTTTGTATATCAATCGTAGAAAACGAATATATTTGATAAACCATATATTCTTTCGATAATACGACAAAATACGAGCTTGCGTGATGCAACAATGGTGTGTTCCTGAAACCTGGAATCTTTAGGTTGATTGCCCAAGCCACGAGATCGACTCGAGCTAACGCTTGCGGTGCCAGGGGAAATTAAGGTGAGCCGAAGCGTGGTGAGAGCTCGTTACGTATTTTAGCGTAAATACTGACACTCCCGCATTTGCCCGCCGTTCGTCTAGGAAGCCGATAGCGAAAGACCTTTCGGGCAATTTCGACAACGAACTTTACCGCGCGTGCTCGCGTTGCGCTAACTATATGTAAGGGTGCCTCTACATAATTCGCAAATAGCAAAATGTAGTTCGTAAATGCTGACGCAGAACGACGATCACGGCACGCAAAATACACGCAGATGAAAACCAACCGCACGCAATGAAAAAATAAACGCAACTCTTCATTCTGCGTCTGCGTTTGCAAATTACGCGTTTTGCAATTTGCAAATTATATAGAATCACCTTCCAAAGTCGTTTTTAATGCGAATCGTCGAAGATACTCTGGCCCCATGTAAAAATCCTTAGATTATAGATTATTCTGACTGATTATCTTTCAGTGATGCGATATGATTTATATAATATGTTAATCTGTAGTGAAAGTTGTATTATATTTTCTAATCTATAATAATTCTTTATGAAAACATATAGAAAAAGAGAAGTGTTTTTGCAGGAAAATATCCTCAAACTCGGCCTCTCACCTAAGTGACAGATAACACTTTACTTTCAGTTTCAAATTATCATCGCATTTCGAGAAATCTGTAAATACATACTATATCACTAAGATAACATTTATGAATGGATTATATCAATCAAGTTAATTGCTTTTAATCTGTTCAATCATTTGACATCAAACATCCATAAAAGATGTGTTTAGCTATAATAAGAAAATTTGCCATTGAACTTTGCACATCGTAATTTCTGTGTCTCTGAAAAATGAACCGTATAATAAAATTATGTGATAAATATTTCTCGAAGATATAATGTCAATTGAGATAGAGCCGACAATACAACAAACTCGCTAGAAGCCGTACAGTATTTTCTCACTATATAATGCACAATCCGAAACTATTGTATCGCGATCCAGATTTGCATTTAGTTTAAGAAAGTGTGATAAGCATGTTCGTAAATTTTATTTATTGTTAAAATAGGATTAAATGTCGTCACCTTTTTGTTGACGGTTAGCTCGCGGGCATGACTAAAGCAAACAATATAATGCAATAATAATTACTCTAGAAGTAATTACGTGCGATTATATGTATAATATATTATTAAATAGCATGTTAATCTCCGACAGTAATGGACATGTCAAAATAAATGGCGGAGAGGCTTGACACTGTCGAAAAGTCTCGGAGTAATAAAACATAGCCTGATATTATTAACGTATTTTCTTCGTATAAAAATTTTGTCTCACATTTAGCGCGAAATAAGTGAAAAATTAATTGATTTTCTCTGCATTCGAATGCCGTTAAGATATGTGAAACCGACGAGAGGGATTCTTTTTTTATGGTATTTCAATTATCATAAACTTCTTCCAAATTGCCTTAATCGATCTTAATTCGGAATAATACAATAACAGATATAACTTTTAAAAATATTACAAAACTTTTATTTCTTTTAAGCTGACGTGATAAAGTTTTTTGTTACAGAGAGATATATAATTCTTCAAATAAATTAATTATTTCTCTAAATTAATTCTGCTATATTTACTCAAGTACATTCATACATAATTTTAATGACATAAAATTTGTTAATATACTATATTATTTTTATTATATATAGCAAACACAAAAAGTATTCGTACAGGGAAAATTTTTTAAAGTCTTATTTATAGAAAATAAACATTAATTAACAATTTATTAATAATGAGTATGTTCCATCTTAATATAAACAAAAAAACTTCGTAAAAATGACTGTTCATAATTTTAAAAATTAAATTTCTTGACTGTACGAATGTTTTTTGTATCTAAATAATACATTGTTTATTTTCGCTTATTTTATTAAAATAATATATTTTAATTGTTAATTTTTAGATAAAATAATTTTGAGAAATGTATAATTTATTATAGTCTTAGTATATCTTTGTATAATAAACTACTAATTAATGTTTACTTCCTCTAAAAATAAAGTTCTTTAAAAGATATCTCCTCTGTACAAATGTTTTTATGTGTATATATCAACTGAAGTTCACGGTCGTGTTCCGATATAGTGTCACTGAAAATTTATAGTAAACGTAACGTACACTATAGATTTGTAGTACTGACAGTGTATATTGGATAATGTGGCCTAAGTGTTGATACCATGGTGTGTACAATAATTTCCATTAGGCTCAGTATAGATTAAAAATTTCAATATTAGGTTTTATAGAGATATCTGCATCAAATTACGCTCTGGAGGCATTAAAATCC